TGGTGGCTTCAGCAACTGAGTTTAACTCTGTGGGTGTCAGCTTCAATCGCTTCCTGATCCAGAGCAAAGCAGGAAGCTATAGTTAAAAAGAATGTGTAAAAGTACAGCACAGCAAAGTGAAAACATGCCAAAGATGGAATGAAACAATGCTAGAGAACTGATTAGAAAATCTATGTTTAAGAAATATTATCTTTGCAAAGGAGTACAAGATAGTTAAGAACACAACGCCTCAAGCACAGATTGAAAAACTGATATCAAGGTCGGGCGGTGGTTCACGCCTGTAATCCCAGCACTTTGGAAGGCCCAGGCAGGCGGATCATTTTAGGTCAGGAATTCAAGACTAGCCTGGCCAATATGGTGAAACCCCGTCTCTACTAAAAATACAAAAAAACCATTAGCCGGGCGTGGTGGCAGGCGCCTGTAATCCCAGCTACTCCGGAGGCTGAGGCCGGAGGATCACTTGAACCCAGGAGGCGGAGGTTGCAGTGAGCCGAGATCGCACCATTGCACTCCAGTCTGGGCAACAAGAGTGAGACTCCATTTCAAAAAAAAGAAAAAAAAAAAAAAAGAAAGAAAAACTGATTTCAGGGTAACAATAGCTGTAATTTATTGAATATCTACTATTGAAAGGTTAATATATATGAATTACATATATGTTGTATGTCTATATAACATGTATATTTATCCTAATTCATATTACTATCTCCATTTTACAGAAAGTAATGTTCCCAGAGGTTAAGGAATTTGTTCAAAGTACCTGTCCAGTAAGTGGCAGATCTGTAATTTTCACTATGCCATGACAGCTGGAAAAAGTGGAGTTAGTATCAGTCATTATTCAGGTATGGAGGTTACATAAATGGAATGTAGGAATGCAGAGGATTAAAATGAATTGAAGAAGGAAAGCCATCATAAAACAATTTGGGAGATAAGAAAGATGGTGAGTTTTGGCTGGGTATGGTGGCTCATACCTGTAATCCCAGCACTTTGGGAGGCTGAGGTGGGTGGATCACAAGGTCATGAGTTCAAGATTAGCCTGGCCAACATAGTGAAACCCCATCTCTACTAAAAATACAAAAATTAGCTGGGTGTGGTGGCACACGCTTGTAGTCCCAGCTACTCCGGAGGCTGAGGCAGGAGAATCGCTTGAACCCAGGAGGCAGAGGTTGCAGTGAGCCGAGACCCCACCATCGCACTCCAGCCTGGGTGACAGAGTGAGACTCGAAAGAAAAGAAAAGAAGGAAGGAAGGAAGACAAGATAAGAAAAGAAAAGAGAAGAAAAGAAAGGAAGGTGACCTTTGTTTTCAGCATCATAAAACTTCAGCTAGAAATAGCCTATAAGCAATTAAAGAGGCGGGGCTAAAGAAAATGAGAGAAAAGGATTGGTGATATACATTTGGGAACCATTTTTCTTCTTTGCTAAAGTCATTCCTTGCATTTTCATTTTCTCACTTCAAGATTGATCTATTCTTTCATTTAATAAATAAAATTTAATTTGAGCAAAAATTGTGAACCAGTTATTTTCTAGGTACTGTTGTGAACACCATTTTCCTTAATTATATATTTAGTCCTTATCAGAAGAGGAACAAAAACAAACATGATAATGCTAGGTTCATTTTATGCCGTGTTATTTTTGTTAAGCCAAAGAAGTAAAAGAATAACAAAAGAGCATGGTGCCCCTCTAGCTGTTTGTCAAACAAAAAGGGAAAAGAAAGACTAGAGAGCTATAAAAGAAATAAGAAAAATTGAAGACTAAATAAACAAGGTCAGGCAACATCAGAATGAATTATTGTATTTGAAAATACAAGACAGAAAACCTATAACTATATCCCTCACAAAATTTTTACATTAACTATTTGAATAATTTATTGACAAATAGGGCCAGGATAAACTCTATCTTTTCCTCTCTAAACTTTAACTCAGACTTTGACCATATCTTCTCAGCTTCTATTACACTCCTCATTTCTACTGTCTCCCACCAACCTTTACCCAAAGAAGAGTCCAGCTTCATTTCTGACTGTGGCATTAATGATTAAGCTATAGTTATTCTTTCAGGAGCACTGCCATTTCTGACTTGGTTTGGTTAATGACTTTGGATGCAAAATAAATGGTCAGAAGTTACTAGTCAAGTTAACTAGCAAAGGCACAGATGCCTTGAAGATCCTCTTATGTCATTGGCTTTCCTTGATCTGGCAGAGTAGATTGAATAGCACCTGTATGCAATGTATCAATTTATTTGTGCTCATAGGTATACCAAATACTAAACTTTGGAGTATTGACAGTGGTTTTCTGACACTCCTTTGTTTAGAGAAAATTCTTCTTTTGATTATGGCAATACAATGATAGTATTCACAGAGTCAGATAATATCAGAGATGGAAGGAATCTTAATCTTGTCCTGTGTAAGTGAAACTTCCCTGAGGATAAGAATCATTTTCCCTTGGAAATTCTAATTCAGTAGATCTCGGTAGGCATCTAAGAATGTTTGTTTTCAACGACCACCTCTAGCAATTCTTATGCTAGGAATTTGGGAAACACTGGTCTTAAATTCTCTCCTATTCTAGCCTGAAGGATATTTCAGAGGAACTCAGAAGGGACAAATCAAGGACTGGAATTCTAGGCTCCCAAGGCATAATCTTGAGCCATTTATGTAATACTAAGATGGCTCTTATATCCTATTATTTTGCTAACATCAGATAGAAGGAGAAAGGGAAAAGATAAAAGAGAAAGCACCTCCCAGACAGAAATGAGCACCAACTATTCTGAGACAAACAACAATAAAAGTGAAAGAATCTAAGTATCAGTGATGAGTAAAGAATATTTGTGTCCTTAGTGATTACAACATCAGAAAACACTTACTATGACATATGATAAAGTTTTACAGTTATATATACATAAAAGTAGACTGCTGCTCTAAGTTAATAGAATCTAATATAGTCAGAGAGAAGAGGAAAATATGAAATTAAAAGGGAACATATATTTAACACGTTCTCTAAATTAAAATACACAAAAATAAATTGTATCAAACATCAGTCACAAAGGAATAGAAAAGGGAAATTTAAGGAATACATTTATATATTTATTTATATAAATAGATTTAGGAATAAATCTAACAAAAGATCTTCTAGAACTCAATATTAAAAATTATAAAATTTGACTGAAAGAAATTGAAGAAGATCTAAATAAATGGAAACATACCATGCTTATGATTTGGAAAGCTCATATTATAAAGATGTCAACATTTCTCAAAACATTCTACAGTTCTAAAACAAAATTCCAGCAGGTTTTGTGAGTATAGAAATTGACAAGTTGACTTTTTAAAGTCAACTTGGAAGTGCAAAGAGCCAAGGATAGCAAAGTCAATCTTAAAGAATAACGGTGTAGGATTGAATTACCCAATCTAAGACCTATTTTAAAGCTATAGTTGTTATATCAGAGTGGAATTGACACAGATACATAGGGCAACCAATGAACACAGAGTTCAGAAAATGACTCACACACATACTGTTTATAACAAAGATGATGCTGCAATACAATGTAGGAAATGAGGATCATTTCAATAAATAAACACCATTTGAATATCCACATCCCCCAAATTATTTTGACCCTTATTTTACAACATACACAAAAATAATTTCTATATAGATTGCCTATCTAAATGTTCAAGTAAAAAAAAAAAGTCTTTAGAGGAAAACATAAGAGAACATCTTTATGACTGTGGAGTAAGTCAGCATTTCTTTTGTTTCTTTTTCTTTTCTTTTCTTTTCCTTTTTTTTTTTTTTTCTGAGACGGAGTCTCTGCTCTGTCGCCCAGGCTGGAATGCAGTGGCACGATCTCACTGCAACCTTTACCTCCCGGATTCAAGCAGTTCTTTCTCCTGCCTCAGCCTCCTGAGTGTCAGGCCTCTGAGCCCAAGTCAAGCCATCGCATCCCCTGTGACTTGCCTGTATATGCCCAGATGGCCTGAAGTAACTGAAGAATCACAAAAGTGAAAATGCCCTGCCCCGCCTTAACTGATGACATTCCACCACAAAAGAAGTGAAAATGGCTGGACCTGGCCTTAAGTGATGACATTATCTTGTGCCTGGCTCATCCTGGCTCAAAAAGCTCCCCCACTGAGCACCTTGTGACCCCCACTCCTGCCCGCCAGAGAACCCCCCTTTGACTGGAATTTTCCTTTACCTACCCAAATCCTATAAAACGGCCCCACCCTTATCTCCCTTCGCTGACTCTCTTTTCAGACTCAGCCCGCCTACACCCAGGTGAAATAAACAGCCATGTTGCTCACACAAAGCCTGTTTGGTGGTCTCTTCACACGGACGCGCATGACACTGAGTAGCTGAGATTACAGGCACGCACCACCACGCCCGGCTAATTTTTGTATTTTTAGTAGAGACAGGGTTTCAACACGTTGGTCAGGCTGGTCTTGAACTCCTGACCTCATGATCCGCCTACCTTGGCCTCCCAAAGTGCTGGGATTACAGGCGTGAGCCACAACACCTGGCCAGCATTTCTTAAAAAAGATATAAAATATGGGGCATAAAAGAAAAAAAATGATATGTTGGACAATATTAAAATTAAGAACTTTTGTTGTTCAAATTGTCAAAAGACAATTTACAAAGAAGAAGAAAATATTTGTGTTACCTGTATCTGTCAAAGGATTTGTGTCCAGATTATATAAGTAACTGCGGAAAGCAATAACAAAACGATTAATAAGTAAATGGAAAAATATTCAAAAGATCTGAACAGCCGACATGGTGGCTCACACCTGTAATCTCAGCAGTTTGGGAGGCTGAGAAGGGTGGATCACCTGAGGTCAGGAGTTTGAGACCAGCGTGGCCAAACATGGTGAAACCCCATCTCTACTAAAAATACAAAAAATTAGCTGGGTGTGGTGGCGGGTGCCTGTAATTCCAGCTACTTGAGAGACTGAGGCAAGAAAATTGCCTGAACCTGGGAGGTGGAGGTCGCAGTGAGCTGAGATCGCGCCACTGCACTCCAGCCTGGGCGATAGAGCAAGACTCTTTCTCAAAAGAAAAAAAAAAAGATTTGAACAGATATTTTACACAAAGAATACCCAAGTAGCCAATAAATCTGTGAACAGGTTATCAACTGTATGGAGGTAAATATAGTTCATTTAGCTAGTCCTATGTTGATGCATACTCAGGTTTAGTCTTGGGAAAGGAAAATATCTTGGGCCTCTTCAAGCTGGGAATCACTCAGGGCAAATCTGCCTCCCAGTCTATTCAGTCATCCCTCTGCTCACAGAGGCGGATGCTGCAGATTCTGATTGCCTCCTTTGGAAAGACTTACCAGAAACTCGAATGCAACCATCTGTCTCACCTTCCTGTGACCTGGAAGCGCCCAGTGGGGGCCTTTGCTTCGAGTTGCCTCCACCTTTCTGGACGGAACTAATGTATTTCTTACATATATTGATTGGTGTCTCATATCTCCCTAAAATGTAAAAAACCAAGCTATGCCCCAACCACCTTGGGCACAAGTTGTCAGAACTTCCTGAGGCTGGGTCACCGGCTAGTCCTCAGTCTTGGTAAAATAAACTTTCCAAATTAACTGAGACTGCCGGACCTGTAATCCCAGTGCTTTGGGAGGCTGAGGCGGGAGGATCACTCGAGGTCAGCAGTTTGAGACCAACTTGACCAACATGGTGAAACCCCATCTCTACTGAAAATACAAAAACTAGTCAGGCGTGGTGGCCGGCGCCTGTAATCCCAGCTACTCTGGAGGCTGAGGCAGGAGAATAGCTTGAACCCGGGAGGTGGAGCTTGCAGTGAGCCGAGGCCCCACCTTTGCATTCCAGCCTGGGCAACAAGAGCGAAACTCCGTCTCAAAGAAATACATAAATAAATTAATTAATTAACTGAGACCTGTCTCAAATTTTCAGTGTTCACAGTCTTTTTCTATCATAAGTAATACTGCAATAATAACGTTGCACAGAAGTTAAATATATCTGTAGGGTAAATTTCCAGAAGTGAGACTGCCGAGCCAAAATATATGCTTTTATAATTTTTGGAACTGCCTATTCATTTTCTTTGCCCATTTTTCTAGAGTTGTTTGTCCCCTTCTTGTAAATTTGTAACATCAATTTAAACATTATTGATATTAATGTTCTGCCATCCTCTATATTGCAGTATTTTTCCTATTGATTTTATTTATGGACTTTTAAAATTAAATGTAACTTGAAGTAAAATGCACAAATCTTAAGTGTACAGCTCTGTTAATTTTTATATGTGTGTAACTCACACAAGCACTACCTAGATAATGTTAAAAAAAATTTCTAGCACTTCAATGCTGAAAGTACTTCAGAGATAATACCACTGCCTCCCTTCTGCCTCCCAGTCAAACCTTCCTCCGTTAAGGTCACTGTTCTACAAAATGGTACTCTGAATAGCCAACGACTGGCCAGATATCATGTCCAAACCACTTTGAGCCAATAAGACTGTGTCTTTTGCTAATGGATCTGTATGTGTAAGGTAATACATTCAAAGAACATGTTATTTTCAAGTCTTCCCAAGTTCTATTTTTCACCAGGCCCTTTTGTGTATACTACGCACAAGCCTCAGGGTTGGTCAGGAGTGTGTGAATAGCTTAGGCCTTCACTGATTTCTGCTGCACATGTATCCAGCCTCAGCCTGAAACATGATTGCCCCAAGTAGGATTGCAGCCTCAGGGCAGTAGGACCAATAAGCTCTTGGCCTTCTCTCCCTAGTCAGCATCCCAGAAGTCACTTTCACTTAAAATGTTTCTGGGCATGAGTGTCAACTACCCCTTCAAATTGAGTGAGTTTCCTTCAGGAGACAAAGAAGGTACTGGTCCCGAAAATATTAGATAGTTATCAATCTTTTTATAATATATTTTTATTATACTTTTTTCCATTCTTGAGTTCTTAATTTTGAGTCATCTCTTAATAACTTAGAAAATTACTACAATAATTATTATAGGAATGGTATATGAATAATAGAACTCCTGGATTCTTATATGTCTAAGAATACCTTCTTACCAAACTATAGATGATGAATACATAATTCATAGGTCACATTAACACCCTTCCACAGATGCAGCTTTATTACCTTTAGAGTTTAGTCTTATAGAATAATTCAAAGTCCTTTGATTTTTGTTCTTTTGTAGCCAACTTACTTTTTTTGCTTGCATGCTTATATTACCATCAGTTTAATCAAACCATTCAGTACAGATCAAACCAAAAGTGTATATGTTTAGAATCATGTCAGGGTCATCAGCTGTTTCTGGCAGAGAACCTTTTATCTGAGAACTTATCTAATCCACTAGCTCCCTACATTTTGGTATCTGAAAACACATCAAATAAGGAGATACAAAAGCACGGGAGATATTATATTTCATTCCTCTCTCTCTGAGGTACTTATACATACCCTTGAGTGGTATAAAGAATGATATACTAGGTATTCAATCCATAAAAAAATGTCTTTAAGAATGTTTCACTTATGAGGGAAATAATAAGGAGGGGAAATGATGTACTGAAGATGTACTGTTTAACTTGCTGGAAGTTTGAAAACATAATGCATGTTATATAGCCAGCTTGGTCAGCTCGTATCACCATGTACTCATTTTTGGTAGTGTTAACACCAAAAAGAAAACTCAGCATAACAACTTTCAGTAAAAACTATTATAATTACTATGTTAAAATAAGCATTTTACTAGCTACTTTGAATTATGAGCTTGCTTATTAATTATGAGTTAAGTAATAAGTAACATAGTTGTAGTTCTTGGCCAAGTATTGATAAATAAAATAGAAATAAAAATGAAGACAGATTAACTAAAGTTGGGCTAGAAAAAGAAAAGGAGAAAGCAAGGTTAAAATAAAAACTTACAAATTAAAAAACAAAAACTACACAAATTCCAGAGGTAAGAAGTTGAATTTAAAATTTTTTCATAATCGACGAAACTTGGAAGCAACCAAGATGTCCTTCAGTAGTTGAGTTGATAAATAAACTGTGATACATTCAGACAATAGAAGAGGATTCAAACTTAAAAAAAAAAACTGGGCTATCAAACCATGAAAGACATGGAGGAAACTTAAATGCATATCATTAAGTGAAAGAAACTAATCTGAAAAGGCTATATTCTGTATGATTCCAACTATATGACATTCTGGAAAATGCAAAACTATGGAGACAACAAGATTAGTAGTTGCTGGGGGTTAGAGGGAAAGGATGAATAAATAGGCAGAGCGCAGGATTTTTAGGGCAGTGATACTATTCTGAATGTTAACAAAATGATGGATACACATTTGTCAAAAATCCATAGAATGTACAACATCAAGACTAAACCCTAATGTAAACTATGGACTGTGTAATAATGATTTATCAATGTAGGTTCATCTATTTTAACAAATGTGCCACTCTGGTGTGGGATATTGATAATGGGGAGAGAAGAAATAAGATCTTCGCAACTTTGCTATGAACCTAAAACTTCAACTTTGCTATGAACCTAAAACTGCTGTAAAATATAAAGTTATACATATATAAAATTATATATGTATATATAAACATACATATATATACTTCATATAAATAAATTATATAATATATAATTATATATATAACTATATTTATATATATTTACATATATAAATAAATTGTCTAAAAAATAAATAAATAACATCAACTGAAATTTCTGAATCAAATTTAATTTCTTTTCTCATCAAAAGTTAAGACATTTCCCTCAGTCTTAGGAATTTTTATTGTTAATACAAAATATACATGCTGTATAAATTTTTATTTATAGCTAAATATTTCTTCAGTCATCACTGTCACTTCCTGATTCACTCAGCTGCAAATCATTTCCTAAAATGAAAAAGAAATAACAAAACTGCAGTAATTAAATATTTAATATTTATTTTTGCATAACATAAATTTTACACAAAATATAGCCCCCAAGCATGATTCTGTTTAGCTAACATTTTGCTTATTCTGTAATTCAGTGACACAATTAGTAACTCAAATAATTAATACTGCGTGTAAAGAAAAAATATACCACCAAACTTCAGCACAGTTTTAGTATTTCCTGGCATCTATTTTAGTCTTCTTTTATATATCCCCATCACTCTTTTTTTTTATATCACTGATTTAATTAAATCAGGAAATGAGAAAAGCATAGTTTAGAAGATCAGACTACATCATTTTGAAGAGTGGAATTTTTTTTTTTTTACTTAAAATGGAGTCAAAATCATTAAATAATACATGTCAAGGATAACTCACTATTGATTCCTTTTGTAATTCATCTATGTACTTGCTGTCATGGAGCTTACAGTACAGTGGGGGAGACAGACAGTAAACAAATAAACAAATACATAACATAATGCCAAGTAGGGATGAGTATTACGGAAAAATGAAAATGGGTATGGAGATTGCAGTGGCAGGTGCTATTTTAGATAGGGTAGTTTTGAAGGTCTTTTTGAGGGCTGACATTTGAACAGAGATTCAAATATAGGAAGAAAGTCATAAAAAATGGAGCGCGTGGAGGTGAAGTGACCAGGCTAAAAGAAGAGAAGTGCAAATGCCCCAAGGCAGGAGCATACTTGTTGCATTCTCTGACTTGCAAGAAGGCCACTGTGGGTGGATTGGAATGAATAAGGAAGATAACAGCAGTAAATGAGGTCAGAAACATATCCAGAAGGTCATGGTAAAAACTTTGGATTTTGTTTGAAAATGTAATGAGAATTCATGAGAAAATTTTAAGCAGGCAACTAACTTAAAACCGGTTGTAGATCAGTAAATACGCCATAATGGTGTGGAAGAAACACAGAAACAAGAGAGCAGTTGTAAGTCTAATGCAGTCTCTCATGTAAGAAATAATGTTGGCCTTGACTCAGGTAGTCCAGGGGAGGTACCCCTAAGTGGTCAGATTCATAATATATTTTGAAGATAGAGTTTATAGGACTAAATAAAACATTGAATTTAGGGTACAAGAGAAAGAAGTGAAGAATGACTCCAAGGTTTCTGTTCTGAACAACTGGATAAATCATTTACTGAGTTATCATTTACTGAGATGAGAAACACCAGAGGAACATGGTTGTAGAAGAAAAATCACAAGTTCAATCTTCATGTGGTAAATCTGAGATACCTAGTAAATACCCAAATATATTTGGTACTGGCACTTGGATATACAAGTCTGGAGCTAAAGGTAGAGGCTGGAGCTGGAAATAAAGATTTGAGAGTCATTGATCATACAGGTTTATCTGAAGCAAAGGGACTGAATGAAATCACTTAGGTAGTAAATTACAGTGGTTAAAGAAATTCTTGTATTTTTTAACTAATCCATAATCAAAAAAGCTGGCATGTTTTGAAATCAATACCTAATTTAAGAAGAATAGTTTTTAGGCCACGTATAAGTTATAAGATGTCTCAGTCTTTTGCATGAACTCCAGAACTGATAACATCATTTGATAAAGAAATCTG